CTTCAGTTATTACCTCCAACATTCAAAAGTCACCTAGTTCTTATCCTAAAGCTGCTAATAGTATGAATTTTTCTAAACATATTTGGTCAGGTTTCTAAATATATCTTGTTACCAACAATACAAGATGCTTTATTTACAGCGATTTCTTATACCAATTGCTGTTACTATAGAGAATCAAGAACTCAAACTGCAAGTGTCTTCTGATTTTTTTTGTATTTTATTTTGAAATATCAATTTTATTAAAAAGTTAAAGTTGACTTTTCTCCTACTTACTCTCTTAAAAGGATCACTGTTTATAAGCGATTTATGATTAGAAAACTAAAGTTAATTTTATCGCTGGGTTTGTGAATTTCTAAAGAGGGATTCAAGTCAAGACACATGGACATTAGTTAAAATCAACAACAAAACCAAAACATATGGAAGTTAATAATGAGCACAATAATTACTAACAGACATGATTTTTACTTATGCAAATGACTCTTATTTTTACAAATGATTTTAAGCAAAACAAAAAGCATTCAGAAAAGTCTGCAGTAGATATACAGGAATGTTAAGAAGTGAAGGGGTGGCCTGCCCCTCCACACCTGCAGGCGTTTCTCCTTAGGTGGAATGAGAGACTTGAGAAAGGAAATGAGACACAGAGACAAAGTATAGAGAAAGAAAAGGTGGGCCCAGGGGACCGGCTGAGAGCTCAGCATACAGAGGACCCACCCCAGGCACCGTCTCTGAGTTCTCTCAGTATTTATTGATCATTATCTTTACCATCTTGTAAAAAGGGAAGTGGCAGGATAATAGGATCATCGTAGGGAGAAGCTCAGCAGTAAGACATATGAATAAAGATCTCTGTGACATGAATAAGTTTAAGGAAAAGTGCTGTGCCTTGATATGCATATGCAAACATCTCCATAAACCTTTTCAGTGCATAAAGAGCAGCATTGCCGCCAGCACGTCCCACCTTCAGCCCTACGGCAGTTTTCTCCTTTCTCAGTAAATAGAACAAACAATTGGGTTTTACACCGAGATGTTCCATTGCCCAGGGACAGGCAGGAGACAGATGCTTTTCTCTATCTCAACTGCCAAGAGGCCTTTTTCCTCTTATACTAGTCCTCCTCAGCACAGACCCTTCACGGGTGTCAGGCTGGGGGACGATCAGGTCTTTCCCATCCCACAAGGCCATATTTCAGACTATCACATGGGGAGAAACCTTGGACAATACCTAGCTTTCCTAGGCAGAGGTCCCTGAGACCTTTGGCAGTGTACGTGTCCCTGGGTACTTGAGATTAAGAGAATGGTGATGACTTTTAACAAGCATGCTGCCTTCAGGCACTTGTTTAACAAAGCACACCCTGCACAGCCCCAAATCCATTAAATCTTGAGTCACTACAGCACATGTCTCTTGCCAGGACAGGGTTGGGGGTAGGGTTACAGATTAACAGCATCTCAAATACAGAACAAAATGGAGTCTCTTATGTCTACTTCTTTCTATATAGACACAGTAACAGTCTGATCTCTCTTTCTTTTCCCCACAAAGAAGTAAAAATTTTATCTATGTAAAATCCAATGTACCACACTGCCTGTAGGAGACTATAATAATACTTGAGGGATAAAACTATATTCCAGAAACAGTCATAAATCTCTCCTCCACTTTTGTTCTCAAGGGTTGCTGTTCAATTTTATGTATAATTGAAGTAACTACTTAGTTGCTATTTCTGGAGCAAATTTTCAGAGCCTCACTTTGAGAGGGACTCTCCCTCTGTCGCCCAGGCTGGAGTGCAGTGGCGCGATCTTGGCTCACTGCAAGCTCCGCCTCCCGGGTTCACCCCATTCTCCTCCCTCAGCCTCCTGAGTAGCTGGGAATACAGGCACCCGCCATCACGCCCGGCCAATTTTTTTTTTGTTTTGTTTTGTTTTTGTACTTTTAGTAGAGACGGGGTTTTGAAAATAGGCCTTAGAAACTTAGAGACTTAGAAACTTATAGACTTAGAAACTTAGAGACTTAGAAACGTATAGACTTAGAAACTTAGAGACTTAGAGACTTAGAAACTTAGAAAGCTTAGAAAAGCCACACCAGGCTCTAAAGCACCCACCCAATGACCAGGTGGCCATCTAAAGCACCCGCCCAATGACCAGGAGGCCATCTAAAGCACCCGCCCAATGACCAGGTGGCCATCTAAAGCACCCGCCCAACGTCCATGTGGCTATCCAAAACACCCACCCAAAATTCCCGGAACTCAAACAGAAAAACGAGTCCGAGAAATACCCCGCGCGGGTTCAAACCAACTAATCAGAGTAAGACACCCTGCTCAGGCCATAACCTGCTCCAATCATCTTGCGCCTCAAGCTTTGTGAGTTTCTGTGGTTTTTGCCTTTATAAACTGTCTGTACTAGGCATTCGGGGTCCTGTGGCCAACTTCGGACATAGGACCCTAGCGCGCTAGCAATAAATCTCTCCGCTGTGACTTCCGTGTCAAGTGGTCTCTCACGGCGACCCCTGCCCAGGAAGGAATCTAAAAACTAGGTTCCAACAGTTTCACCATGTTAGCCAGGATGTCTGGATCTCCTGACCTCCTGATTCGCCCACCTCAGCCTCTCAAAGTGCTGGGATTACAGGCGTGTGCCACCACGCCTGGCCTATGGGACATTTTTATTTCAGCTTACTTTAGCCAAGTGGTCTCATCACGCCTTTGTTTATGACAAACATAAATTATTTCACGGTCATATTAAGCCATGCTTTTATATTAGTAGTCACCAAACTTTTTGTTTGTTTGCCCTTATCAATGAAATATTTTGAGAAATGCTTCCAAAATGAATGTATATTTTATCACACATAAAAATCACAATTAACATTAATAAAATATAATATGAATATACATTTAACATTTTTTCCCCGATAGTTCCAGGAACAAGTACACTCCATCCTGAAGATAATTTATCAACTCCATCTCTTTAAAAGACTGCATACTCCTTGTCATTACCTATTACTCCAGAGGTTCTTTTCTTCCATTATGAATGAGAGGTACCAATCTCTTATTTCTTTTTCTTTGCTTTTTTTTTTTTTTCAAACCATCCTGTTTACTAAGCTAAATCTGGTCATCAAAAAGCTTTCTTTCCTTTTTAAAAATGGCTATTTCACCATTTATGCTTTTAACACTACTAGCCTTTAATTCACATAGAATTTACTCTCCTTCTAGCTGCAAGTCCATTATTTCTAAAGGTTAAATTGTTATGGCTGGGACAAACAAAAGCATATATACACTCATTTAATTAATCTAGCTTATTTTAAAGAACAAAAGAATGGCTAGGTGCAGTGGCTCATGTGTGTAATCTCAGCACTTTGGGAGGCCGATGGTTGGATCATGAGGTCAGGAGTTCAAGACCAGCCTGACCAACATAGTGAAACCCCATCTCTACTAAAAATACAAAAATTAGCCAGGCGTGGTGGTGGGTGCCTGTAATCCCAGCTACTAGGGAGGCCAAGGCAGGAGCATCCCTTGAACCCAGCAGGTGGAGGCTGGAGTGAGCCAAGATCGCACCACTGCACTCCAGCCAGGGCAACAGAGCAAGACTCCGTCTCAAAAAAAAAAAAAAAAGAAGTTTATACTGACAAGATTTATTGAGTGGTTTGAAACTGTGTATTTGTCTGTATGCATAATGTATATGTAAACATCATCTTGTTATAAATTCCTTTATAGGACTTATCATTACTGATCTTAGCCTTATATCTTTTTATAAATCTATTTATATTTACTTATTTTATTGATCCATAATAGATGTACATACTTTGGAATACTTGTGATAATTTGATACACTTACATAATGTGTAAAGATCAAATCAGGTTATTTGGAATATCTACCACATTAACTATTTATCTTTACTTTTTGCTAGGAACATTTAAATTACTGTCTTCTAGTTATTGTGAAATGTACATTAGATTAATGTTAACTATAATCAATCTACTGATCTATCAAACACTAAGTCATATTTCTTCTAACAGAAAATTTGTACTCATTAATCAACCCTTTCATTATTCCCTCCCCTCTACCCTTGCTTATTTAAGAGTATTTTGCTAAGTTATATTAGTATGTCCAATACTAGTAATACCAATATTACATTACTGGAATAAACTTCTAGGAAAAAAGCAGCCTTATAAATGTCAGAGAAAAAGAGAGATGGGACTATTTTAATGGCTGACACAGGTTAAATTTGCTTATCTCTATATATCTATATATATGTAAAATGTCATTTGATCTATATAAAATCAATCAAATATACCACACTGCCTATAGGAGACTATAATAATACTTGAGGGATAAAACTAGGTATTATATATATATTTTATATATATATATATAGAGAGAGAAATATGTATAGACAGATAAACGTATATACAAACAAATTTATTTACTCTCTCTATATGCCTAATTATCCAAGATAATTTGTGCACTAAAACCCAAGAGAAGTAAAATCTTCCAAAGAGAAAATAACTCTATAAATCTTGAAAAGATGATTGAAAATCCTTTTTTTGGAGTTGTGAAGAGTAGTGGAAGTGGATTCAGTGATGTCACTAAACATGAGTACAGTGCTTTTAGAAGATAAGAATAGGCAGGACCTGAGCAGAAGTATATCTCTCTAAGGAGTTCACTTTTATTTGTAGCATTTTCTAAGTTTAACAGTTATTTGATATGTGTTCCCATTTTGGAGCTGTGTTTTCCTTCTTGAAAGGACTGACGCTCTGCCTGCAGTCTTTCTAAATCTTCATCTCACTAGCTCGCATGTCACTAGCTCTTGATAATTTTCCTTTTGTCTAGTAGTGACACATATAAATGACCGAAAATCAGAAAGCAAGACTCTGGTAACTAATTTCAACAAGCCTTGTTCAATGGCATAGACAGCATGTAATTTATTTTTAGTGACACTATTAATAAAAGTGACGTGAAACACAAGGGATGTAATGTCAGCGATATTGCACCTCAAAAGAGGAGAAAGTGTGGCATGTTACCTCCTGATTAGCAGCAGCTAGTTCTTCTTCCAGTGCAGAGACTCTTTCTAAAGAAACCCTCAGTCGCTCCCTTACCTAGAAGAAAAATCAAAATATGTGCAGTAATGTACATCCCATACATATTAAACTGTGCCGAATCCATCATTAACATCATCAGAGACAGTCAATTTGACAAATTATTAAAGAAGTATTTATATCCCTATGTGCTCCGAATACTAAACCTGGCAAAAATACAATGAATGCATTGCCACCTCGTATTGTCACTATATCAAGGGATTTCCTTGTAAGCAAATCCTTTTGGTAGTTCCCTCATAGAGCTTCAGGTGGGGCTGGAGATTGACTTGTCTTGCTTTGAATTCTGATTCATAGTAAGCGGATACAAAGTTTAAAAGTATATTATGAATTCATCTGAAAAATAGTCACTGACTAAGCGTGACAAATAGGAAAAAAAAAAAAAAATACCCCACCTTTTTCTCTACTTCTGTAAAATAACAAGTAAATTTTCATTTGGTAAATAGTATCTAACTTCAAAAATAATTTGCCTGACGGAAAGGCCTTTTAAAACCTGAAAAGTGTTCTTTGCTTCTATGTTTTGTATGAATTAGAGGTCTATTTTGTTTTTGGGGAACTGTAAAGTATTTAAGTATTTTGGAATTTCCAACTAACTTTCAGATATCAAAGGTTAAACCATTGTATTTTATAGAACCAAAATATCTGTATATTTTAGTTTGAAAGTCATAATTTATGCTTGCTTCTTACATAACTGAAACTCAAAGAAGTATTTCTTTGATCCTTGCTTTCTTAGAACTTCTAAAATTGTTTTAGTTGTTATATGTTTAGATCTATAGATATGTCTTGATATATATATTAAATAAATGTATTATATTTATAACAATTCATAGAAATAAATATTGCTGAATTAAAATGAATGACCACAGCAGTTTAATTTTACCTAAAAAATCAAAAAACCTTTATAGCTTTAACTTAAGATGCAATTCATGGTGGGTTTTCAATTATTTATAAATTAACATAGATTTTTCATGGGAATGCCATAGTATTTGTGCAGTTAAGATGTATTTTAATATATAATTATATTCCTATGAGCTTTCATTTTGTTAACTTACTGACAGTATATTTTAATAAATGGTATTTTTCTCCTCTAATAAGATTTAACTGGGAATAGAGATTAAATTTATAAAATATGTAAAAACCCAGATACATAAACAAATTTAAGTTGGAATTATAATATTATTTTTCCAGTTAGCAAACAAACAAAAAGTCAGTAATGACCTATTATCCTAGAATCTAATTAAGAATTTTAAAAAATCTAAATCACATTTTAGTATTGTATTATGATACCACATATATTCAGATGAATGGATGCATTTAATTTCTGAAACAGACCATGAATCAGCAATAACAATATCCAAGTAGGGGTTTTAACATTAATTATATTTTATTATGCTCAAATTCTCTAAAAACAGTAATACACACATAAATGGAGACTTGATGTCTAAAACAGTTGCACAGGATCTTTCATCATATTGAGCTAGAGATTAACTGCCAAGTATCATTCCTGTTAGACAAATATCCAATTGTTAACAAATACATAGAATTAATGCTGATTAATAACCAAACACTAGTTACATAGCAGGAAATATTTGATGATTTGATTTGGAGAATGCTTTTTTATGAATTTTGAATACATGAAAAAGCAGCAAATATCCTGAAGCCATGAAAATGAGCAGGACAGCTGATGTGTGGAATGCATATATCAAAAAAGGTTTCAACAGACGTGTGATGTTTACCAGGGATTCCCATATTCTAAAATACCAACTGTAAGATACTGGTGTTCTGAAGAAGGCCTAGTAAACCTGGTTAATGAGAACAGCAATAAGAAGCAATCTAAATATGGTAATAATCTCACCATACACAAGCTTGATCATATCACACTTAAACTGCTGTAGAGAGAGGAAGTTACCATATTTTAAAATATTGACACATTAAAATCTCTCTAAGTCATTTACATCATGTAAGAAATGGTTGAATCTAGCTTATGTGGTAGGTTAAAATATCTTTCTGACTTTCTTTTGCTAAACTTAAACTCTTAGAACTATTCCAAACTGTTTTCTATTTACTACAATTTAAGCGTTTATATTTTCATTATAGTGAGTTTTTAAGGAATAAAAATTATCATATTTACCCAACAATATGAAAATAAAAGAATAATTTCTCATATATTTAGAATAGTGGTTTACAAATTGAGATTATGTTGTCCATGAAGTAATAAATCTAAAACTATTTTACAAGAAAATAAAAAAAAAATTCTGAATATATTTTGAGTTATGTTATAAATTTAAAAATTGCTGCTGTGAATGTCAATAATGCAAACTGAAATTAATATATGGCCGGGTTGCATTTGGGGAATTATCACTCCTACAACAGAAAATATTTTTGAGGAAACCTCCTCAGACCAGAAGCTCTAATTCATTTTTGACCCTGTGATATTTGATAATGAAAATATATAAGGATGGTATATATATTTAATTTGTTTTGGTTTACATTTCCTATACATGTCTGATACGGTTTTTTTCTAATAGTCAATGATTTCTGAGTAATTGAAAAACACAACTATATTTTCTCATAACTGTAGTTCTCATTCTACAATTTAGTGGCTATATAAATAATTGGACATTAATAATGAAAATTATGAATCACTGCAACTCTACAGCTATGCTCAATCCTTGTAGAGTTTATTTAGTTCTGCATATGTACTAATCCCTCTATGATAAAGTTGTTTGTTTCTTGTTCCCAAGGTATGGTTAACTGCATCTTTTTCTAACTTTCTATATATATAGTATTACTTGTTTACATATCTATATCCACATCCCTCGTCATCCCTGTGAGAAGCTGTGAGTTACTCTTAGGAAAATTGTCTATGAAGGCACTTAGACACATATGAGTTCCTTGATAACTAAATGAAATGCTATTTTAAACAAGCATCTGGATCAAGAATAATACCAATATTTTTACTTGGTTTGAATTTTTATAAAATACAGATATTTACTCCTGTTAATAACAATATTCATAAATGTCCACTGAGGTCTTGCCATACGCTAAGCACTAGCTGAAAGCTTTGCATATCAGATCATATCTAATCCTCATGACAACTCTGAGGTCAGTACTAGTATTATCTTAATTCAAGATAAGAGGTAATTGATGCTTTCAGAATGAATGGTCAAGTCACTTGTCCAGATCTGTCTGACTCTAGAGTCCCAACTCATAACATGTCTTCTTTAGGCCACTGAGCATTACTTGTTGATAATCAGTCCAGTTGTCCCTGAACTCACCAATGTTCAGGATACCTCTGGTGAGTTAATACATATTATTACAGCTCCTATGGCCATATGATAGAACAACTCATTTAGTTGCACTAAACCCACTGAACTTCTATAAAGTAAATTATATGTAGATTAAGTTGTACAACAGCCATTTTCTTCTTAAATGTAATCACATGACCAGGTTATTTGTCTTAAATGTTGTTTATTACCTCTATTCTGATAAATAATCAGTCTTTTGTAAAAGCATCCCTCACTTAAGTGATATGGGAATGCTTATAGGAAACATCTCAAATCATACATTCTCTAGTACCTTCATTTAAGTCATCTCAAACTCTTGAATTTTCTCTGAAGAGGTCCTTCTCTTCTTACAGTTTTGGGTTATTTTCTGTGTGAGTCCTGCTGCTTAGAGTGTATTTCCGTGCTTAAAAAACCCTTAATCATTCTTTAATACCTAGATCAAATGCCACCCTTTCTTGAAGACATCCTTGTCTTTGTCATTACTCACAGTCATAACCTTTTCTGTGACTACATATTGTGATGGAAATATGTCTTTTTTGAATTGTTTTTCATTGATATGTGAATTCCTAGCACTAACTCTGAACTTCTCAGTCATAATGAGAATATCTTATTTATCTCTGTGTGTCAAACATCTGCCATGGAGTCTGACACATACTAAAAATTCTATACATATAAACTCTTGCAAATTCTTAGCACTTTTATAAAAAAGAGGAAATATAATATGAAACTAAATGTTGAATATTAAATAATTATTTGATGTCATATTTAGCAAGAATTTTTATATAATATTCATTTCTGTTTTATTCAAAATAATTCTTATACTAGTCATCTCTCATTGCTAAAATAAAAATGAGATACAATTTCTTCTTAATACTCTAGAAGGCAGAATTATAATTATCCTTACATACACATTCCACATAATCCCCTGTTCTCAGAACATCTGAAATACCAATGATAAAAATATAAATGTGTATAAATATTAAATAGAACAAAAATGTCTGCATGCTTAAAAACTATATATAACTCGGAAATAATCCCTAGTTTGGATTTTAATGCTCAGAACTTGTCAGATACTTTACAATGAAGTGTCCCAATTTCCACTCTAACTCCTAAAGCTTTATTGATTTTTGTGAGTTCAGTCTTTGAAATTTCACAAAATTGAAATCATGTCATAAGCCATCCTAATCTCCAAAGAATATTATCATCCTATTGGTTTATATATGTCAGTAGAACTTATTTGAGTAACAGCTAAGAGAAGCTTACAGCTACTTTTAAAAATATCTAAACACAAATTTTTCTACTAATACCTTATGATGTTACTTGCAGAGGCTCTTCAAATGAATATTTAAAACTAAGATATTAGAGACATTAGAAAATCAGATGCTTCTAAAATAAATGTCTAAAAGTTAAAGTACATCCAATTTGCACTTCAAAATAGATATAATTTTCAGTTAGTGGTCTCTTATTTTGGAATCTATAGAGAAAGACCAGGGTTTGAGAGAGAGAGAGAGAGAGAGACAGAGAGACAAACAGAGAGAGAGAGAGAGAGAGAGAGAGAGAGACTCAATAATAATATTAAATGATACAACATTTTGAATGCCATCTGAAGTGGGGTTATAATGTACCATAATAGAAGTCTAATTCTGGTAAGTCATAGATTCAGCGGCTTAGAAAAAGAAGATGTTTATGAATATTACCAACATCCACACGGTAATCCATTTTCACTTAAAAAAAAATGATTTTTCATATAACTCAAATGTGTTCCTCAACTGACTGACTTTAGAAGTCAGGTGAGTCAATGGGTGAAGACAAAGAACTTGATGATGATGACAGAAGTGTAGTTAAGCTTGAAATCTTTTGTCCATACTATACCTTTTCATCCAAGGCCTTGTGGTGCTCAAACAAAGATTTCAGTGCCTTGAGAACTTCAACTTCACTGGATACTCCTGAGGGAGACTGGGCTTGCCGTTTTACCACCGTCATTCTTAGTGACCTTTCATGTCGTGACACAAGGCACTCCAAATGCTCCAGTAATAGCTATTGGGTTTAACAGAAAATGCAATTATCTTCTGAATACAAGTCAGGAACACTTTCAAATGACTTCCCCCTTAAAACACTGCAAGCTTACATAGTATCTAATGTTAGTTGCAGGTTACACTGCAAGTGGCAACAAAGAAGCACAGACCTGTTTAAAACAGGGTTTATAAAGATAAATTGTATCATATAACAAGTTACTGAATTTAAAAATGTAATGCAAATGTTATGCAGTCCTTTTAGCAAATTTAATACTTTCAGTATGGATTCAGCAGAAATAGAACACTTGACAAAATATGTATGTTAGTGATGAAAGAACATTGCTTGATGTATCAGGACCTTTTTAGAGGATGACAGTGAAAGTCAAAATTTATTTCATTTACATATGGCCATTAAAATTATTTGAGTTGAATAAAATGAGCATAATCATTATAATGTTAATTTAGCTTAAATAATCCCATGGTTTTATTCACAATTATTCTTTAGATTAGATTATAGAAAAATATTTTCAACCAATTAGAACATAGTAACTGAGATTCTCAATTGTCAGTTCGGGAAAGGAAGTTAAGGAAATAGTTTTGAATTGTCTATGTTAGAATCTATGATTTCCCAGGGTAGCCTCTGGGGCCATGACAGAGGTGGAGGGAAAGTTCCTGAAGAGTTTCCAGGATGTTTCAGGTTCTACACTCTTAGCTCTTGCCAGAGAAGATCTGCTTTGAAATGTTTTGTGAATTGGGGTTCCATATTTGTTTTCATTTCAAAAGGAAGTTCTACTGCTAAAACCAAAGATACATGAGAAGAAAATCAGAAACTGCTTGATTATTATCAGTTATTGTAATTTTACTAGTAAATAACCACACACAACTGGTAAGCATTACAAGAAAGCTCTTCGGAAGAACAGTGAAAAGCATAAGCTAACAAGTGGTGTCTACTTATGCAAAATAAAGAAAATAAAGCAGAAATTACCCAAACGAAAGATTTTAAAACAGATATAAGACACTGAAGGTGGAAAGAAGGAAAGAAAACAACTTTCCTTTTTTCCAAGACATTTTCTAAAAGTTTAATTGTAAAGAAAAATTTTGGTCTTCACTATACCACTGTTAGATTCAGTGTCACGTATTAGTATCATAGTTTTTGGTTGATTTCTCTACATTTGCTGTCACTAATTATGACTCAAAATGCTAGAAAACTTTGCCATTATTGGGCACAAAGAACACCAATATCTGAGACACTAAACATATATAAATCAGTAGATAAGAGTCATATTTAGGGGTCAACATAATATTAGTAGTTTTTCAGTATGAAAATGACCTGAAATTTTCCAGGAGCCCTTTAACATTTATCAATCTCTGATTGATAAATTATGGTATTCTATTCTCTCGAATTCTACAGATACATGTATCCATGCATAAATCCAAACTGCTTTACACAGGTTGTGGAGATTTACATGAACTTAATAATGCCTACTTTTCCAGTGTCATCTGATGTCAATCTTTCCCTGGCAAACTATGTTCCAGCTTTCCTGGCCTACTTTTAGCTCCTCAGTATGTCAAGCCTTTGCTTATGCTGTACCCTCTGCCTAAAGTACTCCTTCTTTGTTCCTCATTTAACCAGCTCTTTCCCATTGTTTGTCTCAGCTTAAACATCATCTCACAACAAGGCATTTGCTCACTACTGCCTAAGGTAGTTTCTCCTTTTCCCCACCTCCACAAGTCTCTATTTCAATCCCTTACTAATTTTTTTTTCCAGACTATTTCATGATGTGCAATTTAAAGAAATCGTTCTACTAAATTTCATTCTATTTTCCCATTGCAATAAAAGCTCCAAGAGAGTTGGCACAGTGTCTGCCTTAATCCTCTTGATTCTCTCTGAATTTGGGTGTTAGCTCAATTCACAACATCTATAGGTATGCAATTAATATTTGCTGAGTGGATTAAAATATTAATAAATGAGTTAAATTTACATACGTCATATAGTTTTATATGTTTCCATACAGGTTTGGCCTATATGAAAGCTAAGCTTGTGGTCATGGTTAATTGGCATTATTTCCCAAGAGCTTAGGCTAATTAACATTATTATGTACATCTATCCTTCAATCTGATGACATAAATAATGAAACCTTTATAATACAATGAAAACTGCTTTTTTCTAATTGTAAATTAGAGGCATCTTGTTTAATACAGTAATTCATTAAACATATCAGCATCTAATTTTGCACAGTACAGTGTAAGATTTAGAAATATAAAATACCTACTCTCTAGGAAAAGAAACACAGTAATGATGCTATAAAGGACATCCGTTTTCAGAGACAACTTAAATCTTTTAATCACACTCTTTGCATTTGGCAAATGGAACTTTTAACTGCTTCTCCCTACCCTCATGCCCTCATTGTCTCTTTACCCAGCTTAAAGTTAACAATTCAGTATTTGTAAGCACTCTCTTTCATGCTCCCTCAATTTCTAGAATCTGATCACTTGCCACTACATCCACTGCTAACATTTGTGTCCAAGACCTACAATCTCCCCCTGAATTATAATGGCTCTTTAACTGGTTCTCCTGCTTTCAGCCTTTCATATTCAGGCTATTCTCAAAACACTATTTAAGCTAAAATGTGAGTTAGGTCATTTATACTTCTGCTCAAATTTTTAATGTCTTCTTATTGGGCTCAAGTGAAAGCCAAACTCATTATACGTCCCAAAGAGATCTCAATTTTCTGAACTCATCTCCTATTTTTCTTCTTGCTCATTCCGGTATAGCTATGTTGGCTGCCTTGTAGTTTTTTGTTTGTTTAGTTTTGTTAATTTTGCTTTTAACATGGTAAACATCCATGTCCCCACAACAGGGGCTTTGTACTTCTTATTTTCTCTAACTAAAACATTCTCTTTCAGATATCTATATGACTATCTCACTTCACCATCTCTTTCATGTTTTAACTCAAATGCCACTTTTCAATGAGACTTTCCCTGGTTACCTACAACATTGGATATCTCCTTCCTAGCTTTGTTTGTTCTTCTTAGCGTTTGTCCCTATCTAATGTCATATTTATTTATGTATTTTTCTTGCTTACTATCTGTCTTTCAAAACTTAATGTAAGGTCAATAAGGAAATACATTTTTTTTTTTTTTTTTTTTTTTTGAGACGGAGTCTCGCTCTGTCGCCCAGGCTGGAGTGCAGTGGCGCAATCTCGGCTCACTGCAAGCTCCGCCTCCCGGGTTCACGCCATTCTCCTTCCTCAGCCTCCGGAGTAGCTGGGACTACAGGCGCCCGCCACTGCGCCCGGCTAATTTTTTTCTATTTTTTAGTAGAGACGGGGTTTCACCATGGTCTCGATCTCCTGACCTTGTGATCCGCCCGCCTCGGCCTCCCAAAGTGCTGGGATTACAGGCGTGAGCCACCGCGCCCGGCGGAAATACATTTTTTAATCTATTTTGTTCATGCTGTATCTTTAGTGCCTAGAAGATTGGCATATGGTAGATGCTCATGTATACTTACTGAATGAATGAATAAGTACTGATTAAAGCAATAGTATGTATCTTTATTGGCAAAATTCTTCAGAGAAATGGATATCTGGGATGTTTGACCTGAAGAGGTTTGACAGAACTAATAGTTAGATTAGCATCAAAAGAAGGAAGATTGTCTTCTATGGTACATGGAGGTGAGATAGTTATATAAATAATCACCTGAGTTCTCTGAAAATGGGGTGCCTGTGTAAGTAAGACTTTGATGGATTGAGTCATAGCTACAATAGACCATTTGAAAGGCATGAGGAATATAAGGACAATGAAGTGAGCAGAATGTTTTGAACTGCACTGAAGGGTTTAAAGAAAGAAAATGACAAGCTTAAGGTTTTAAATTCTAGGTCAAGGCTCAGTTAGAGAACGCAAGAGGTGCTATGGCTGCTCATGATAGCCTCTTATTAAGATCCCAAAACATAACAGAAAGAAAATAAAAAATCTAATCTAAGGGAGGTCACTGAATTACAATACATGATAATTTCACAGCCTTGCCAGGAATCTTATGTAGAAATCTTGCCATCACTCTAAGAAAAAAAGCAGGCACCCCAAGAACTATAAAATGGACATTTGGAAAGATTCAGATGTGTCTGAGTTACCCTGATACTCTCAATCGCAATGAGTCTTCCTGATTCTGTGATGAATCCAGTTCTATCTGTCTTAATGGTCACGTAATGACTTCACTTAAAGCAGTTATCTTATAAGAAGAAGCCTCTGCTCATCATGTTCCACCACGAACACCTCTTTCTGCCTCCAGACTTCTAAAATATGAAGAGGTAAATAACAAGGTCTAACCTAAAAAGAGAAGGATTTCAAATCAATAGACCTGTATGCTTTTGCTAATTTGTAGTTTCAGAAATCTGGAAATATATGTAGATGCTAATATTACTGAAACAGAAAGAGGGGGACAACATTTTTTGATCTGGTTAAATTAATCAATATGACGATGTTTTTTCAGATAATCCAAATTAAACTTTGATGTCAAACACCAAAAAGTGGTTTTAATTGTTTGTTTCATTGGTTAACTAAAACATAAACTGAGTGGTGGCTGAAAACAAGTGAGTAAAAGCCAAAAATTCATTGGGTAGAAGGTAGAAGGAAACTGATGATTTATAGAGTTAAAAATGGCAAATTCAGCTCACCCCCAGCTATTTCCCTTGAGATGACCAAAGTGACACTATCTTCACTAAGGCATTGGGAAATAGATTGGAAAAAAGGCAACACATGACCTACAAAACTGCCAGAACAGCAGTTCTTTACAGATAAAGAATAAAAATGGAGAGATGCTAGTCCTAAAAGGAACCCTTTGATTTCTCTGGGGATGACAGAATTCTGCAGTGGCAGAGGCTAAGTAATAGCAATTAACTACCTAAGCTAAGTTATGTGTGGTTACTATAATAGGCAGAATGGTTTGATCCATTGGGATCTTTGTGATAGCTAATTGATTATAGAGTTGTTAATAAGACATCAAGAATTAGGTTGTATTAATAA